CATAGGTATATGTGTTCTATTTAAAATGTAGAAAAGGAAATCAGTTCCAAACAGTCACTCTGCAGAAAACTGTGATTCACAAAACTGTGTTTCATTGTTCAGTGGACTTGGGGCAAGTCCTTTACTTTGGCTTCTTCTGCCAAGTAAGCTCTGGAAGACAGTGTCATGCAGGGCCACTCTGGCTCTTGGTGTGGCTCTGCCAGCTCCAGCACTCTGGTTCTGGTCCATGTGGGATCAGATTCTCATCTTTCAGTGAGCAGTTCTGTCCTTTCCAGGCCTGAAGGGTAAGATCGAGCGAATAAACTTTAATCATGAGTGCTTTTATACCCTTGTCACCAAACTGCTTCAATATGAATGCTGAAAGAGAATAGTGATGTTATTTTTCTGAAACCACAGGGTAATTATAAAAGCAGCATCTTATTATCACTTTGTGATTTCTATTCCTCATATGGGTGTATTTTCTACAAAAAAAAAATCATCTTTTCATAACAGAAATACTTAACCAGGTTTGACCATTCTCCAAAATGATGAAAAAATATACTTTTGTATATTTTATACCAATGATGAAATTACTCAGGAGAACTTCTTTTAGCAAGATTTTTCCAAACCCAGTTTACACACTGTAACACTCAACTAACAACTAATCTGAGCCATAATATATCACTGTTCATCCCTGAGGGGACCCAGACTTCTTGGAAAATGCAATTGAACAGGCTTATACAAGCAGCAACAGAAAGGCATATTTAAATGTATTCTGGAATGCAATGATCCCAGAGGAAAGAGCAAGAATAAAAACCTCAGCGATGCCTCAAGAAAGAGCTCCCTCAAGTTTGCTGTCATTTGAAAAGAATTTCTCTTCTATACAAAAACAACTACATTATAAGTTTGGATTTTCTGGAAGTGGAATCTTACTAGTAATAATGATTAAAATGCTATTTTACACATTCTTATTGCTCTTTTTAAAATATGTCATTTCTGGCCACAAGGACATATGGAAGATTTGATACAAGTATACTATTCCCACAAAGCCAGGGCTATAGTCACAGGAGTTATTGGTAGTTTTAGCTAAAAACTGGTAAACCCAGATGCAGGAGGGGTCAGAAATTTGCCCAGACATAAAATATGTTTAGACTTCATAATGAGCCACCTGACTTGGGCTATTAAAAAATAACCCAGCAAATTGGTGCACAGGTAGTTTAGAAAAAAAAAAATCTCTGCAGGAAGGAACTTCCACACTCAAATACATTATAGCATGAGAATTAATGGACTAAAGCCAGCTAAGTTCTAAATAAGAGAAATGGGGCAAAAATTCCAGGGAAGGCTTCATAGTTATCAATGACTGACAGGCCAGTCTACTAGCTAGCAAACACAGTAGAGGGAACCCCAGAACAAGATTATTTAAGGATGGCAATGTGTCCCACAAGTAAGATTCCCTTCCACTTGAAGGGTAGGGGGTCATTGAGGCAGGGAAAGAGAGAGAGAAATGCAAAAAGCCTGATTTCTGTGGGAAAGCTCTAAGTCTCCACATCAGTGGTAGGAGCATACGGTGCATGGAATTCATCTTGTTTGTTCCAGAGAAGGGGAGTTTTCACTTAGTGCAACAATCAGGGTGTGGAGTACAATGAAGTCTTGGGCATGTGTGCACTGTAAGATAAAATGATAATAGGGGTTTGCTTTTTGGTGTGGCCCAGCATTAACCTCTGTGGGCAGGGCAGATCTATTTACCTATGGACTGGTTGGCCCCACAGTAATCCCAGGGCACTGGGGCTGCACTATCATCAGACTCCTTCCAGGTACCACCACAGCCAAGGGATGGCAGCACCTCTCAAGCTAACCCCCAAACACAGAAATGGATAAATATAGTGCACATTGTATCATCTGATTTACACAATTCAAATATTTTAAAAGGACCTAGTAAGTATCATGTGTCAGAATATTCTAGGTCCTATGAAAGTGACCAAAAAAAAAAATCGACACATTTTGCCTTCCTCCCAAGAGGGCATGAAATGTAACTCTCAAGGCAAGAAGGAGCAGAGAGAGTTGCTGATACTTCACTAATATTTTTAGCTTTGAATGAGACCAGGATTGAAGTGAAGGTTGGTACCTGTCCCCTGCCACACATACTCGTAAAGCCACCATTCTGATTTGGGGAACTATTGAAATAACAATATTGTATAAAGGAGGAATTTCTTCTTTATTGCCCACAGGAAATCTAAAGCCTAGAGGGGGAAAAATGACTCATTGAAAGAAGGAAGAAGAACAGAATATAGGTCTCCTGAATCCTAGCTTCATCTAGTAGCTCACCGAATGGATTTTCAAACCCAAGGTGCAACCTCAGAGTCAGTACCAATATTGATTCCCTAAGGAAGGTGCCCTTATAAATATTAACAGGTGTTAGGAAAGTTAATAAAAGGAAAAGGAACATAATGAGGTTCTGTTGTTGATTAAGTTTAAGAGAATCTGGATGAAACAATGGGCACAGATTTCTCTCCTACAAATTTCTTAACACATTCAATATGTGAATGTGAATTGTCTATTTTGAAGATGGAAACCCTGAACCTATCTCTCTCTCTCTCTCTCTCTCTCTCTCTCTCTCTCTCTCTCTCTCTCTATCTGCCATATCAGCATTTCACAGATCCACTACAAAATATGTCAACCTCAAGTCACACGTAAGGTATGACCTGCAAAATATGTACTACGTACTACAATAATATACTAACATGACAACCCAAGGCTGAACCTAAAGACAGACCATACTTCCCACTCTTCGACCTTACAGTGTTGTGACAGTTCCTAAAGTAGATGAAAACCTCTTTACACATGTCTGCCCCAAAGCCCAGGCTTATTGATCTTTGCAGCTAATAGTGAGTTTGAAAAGTATTGGTGGATGCGTTAAAAACTTAAGTAATATCTTTCTAGAACTGACCTAATCTACTCAACCAACATTTGGAAGAGATGTTGACATCCACGCTTCAGAACGATGAAACCCCTTCTTCTTCTTCTTCTTCTTTTAACATAAAAGATCAGTTTATTTCCATATTATAGCTGAAAATTTTGGAAATTAAAAATAGATACTATGTACATTCGTGTTCAGAAAACTTGAAATACTTAAGTATGAAGTGTGTACACTGAAAACACAAAACATAGTTAAAAGAAAGTAAAGAGCACATAAATAAATGAGAAAATATAGCATGCTTATTATGCTTTAGAAAATTCAGAATTGTAAATATGTTAAATCAACTCAAATTGAACCATAGTTTCAAAGCAATCTTAATCAAAATCTGAACTATTTTTTAAAATGGAAATCAATAAATTGATTCTAAAACTTATGTGCAAACATAAGGGCTAAGAATTTTTTTAGTCTTGCAAAAGCAAACAACAACAGCAAAATTTGGGTGATTCTAAATGATTTAAAGACATCATAGAGCTACTGTATTCAAAGAAGTATGTTATTGATGTAAAAATTAGATCGATCCATGGAATAGAACAGAGAATCCAGAAATAAACTCATACTTTCATCATGAAGTAAGTTTCAGCTAAGGCTCCAATTCAGTTCAAGCAGAACCCCTTCTTCTTATAGGTCCAATCTATGTACAGGGCACAATTGCCAGCACAAGAAGGTTTCCAAGGGAGAAATTTTTGATCAGCAATTAATGAGATACAGGTTTTCAGCAAGTTTGACTCAACAGCTTCAGTTTGTAGGAGAGAGCAAGAAAAAAAATAAACTTTAATTTGTCTCCATGAATGTTTTGAGCAGTTGCTTGTCGGCCCACATTTTATCTTTCTGATGAAAGCTTTATTATTTTAATGTAATTTCTGAAAATTAAATAGTGCAGAGGCAAATAAAAAGATTTCTTTTATAGCTCCAAGAGAAAAAAAAAGAGAAAGTTTTCATCCTGGATATGGGGAAGGGATAGAAATAGTGATATTTGAGCTAGGGCCTTGAAAGGGGAATAGTTCAATTTGCTGTGAGAGAAAGGCAAGGGGCTGGCACTTCATGGTAAGCAAAGCACATGAGAAGGCATGAGGCAGACTCTGGTGTGGCTGGAATACAGGTGCATGACAGAGAGGCAGACCCAGCTGAGGAAACTGGAGACATTATTATAAAGGAACATGGATGTCGTTCCAGTGCATTTGAACTTCATGTTGAGTTCTGCCAGGGAAGGTTTCTAAGCATGGTAGAGTCATATTTATTTACAAATGCACTTTAGAGAGATAACTTTAGGGGAAATGGAGAAAATATGTTGAAATATAAGAGACCCATGACTAGGATGGTCAACTACACAGCAGGAGTGAATGTCCTGTGTGGGAAGCTGTCTCCAAGGCCAGACTCGAGAGGCATTTCTGAGGTGTAATAACTATGTTCAGGTCACTAACTAAATATCAGTGTGGGAAGGAAATGCTGATAGCAGCCCCCCGGTTTTCTAAGCAGATTTGTAGTACTATTATTGAGACATCTCAAGGATGTAGAAAACTGGATCAGTTTGATCAGAGCAGCTCATAAAACATGTTTTTCCTAAGCAAAATCATTGTATGAAGGTCAGATAAAGGCAAGAAGGGGAAACTGTTCCCATATTCCTCCAAGAGCTAATCTCTGGAAGGCTAGATGTAGGCATAATTTTTCATCTGCGATCTTGTTTGGTTTTAGGGATTATTCTTTTTCTAAATCTGAGCTATGTCAATGTACCAAACACCCACACCCACGGCTCTGATTGGACCAGATGTTATCACAAATCATATTGAGTTTTTTGTGATACCTTCAACTTCAACAGATGATGAGTCAGATCAACTCCATGTCAAAGTATCTCAGAGATAGCTGCTTGGAAAGGCTTCCTGGTATACCAGGTCATGGCACAGATATAGGAAAAGGAGAAAGATAAGTCTTTGACTCCACCTGAGCACACCTATTTTGAGTAGAGCTGGTCACGTATAAATACAGGAAGGCTGCTCGTCCAAGCTCATGCCTCACAGCTCCTCTGCTCCCCTGCATTCACAAAGACATGAAGTTCACAGTGAGTAGATATTTTTTCCTTTTGGACTTATTACCATCTAACTGAGACTGTTAATATTCTGATAGAAGAGGTCTGCTTCTTATAGCAATGTCACCATGATGGAAAACCTTGAAAAAAATTCTCTTTCCTTTTCATGGATCATGGCCTTTATAGTTAACCTTCTCTACATAACTGTTCAGATCTCTACGTAGAACAAGAAGTCCCTAAGTTTTAGAAAGTGCCTGATCTTTCCCCATTCTTGAGTTCCATCTTTAACCACAACTCCTGAGCATGTTCCAGCCAGATAAAAAGCTAATTATCATAATAACTGGGTAGTGACTTGCTGTCACATTCTTCAGCATGGGATGAATCTCTAAGTAAACAAGGTTGGCCCTGCCAGGGGCCTGTCCTTGGCCATTTCTTTGGGAAAACATGTGAAGCATGAAGCTGATGCCTAGTCTCACCTGCAGTTTCAGGCGGAAGCCTAGGAATGTTGAGGTGGACCTCAAAATTCTGTCAGTGGTATTCACAGTCCCCAGTGTCCTAATGCAAATGGAGCTAGAATCAAATAATTTCATGTTTCAACACCCCCAAACACTGGGGTGTTGAAAACTCTGCTTTATAATGGGGTTGCACGTGTAAAATACTTGTTTGGAAATAAGTATTCTTAATAGAGGTGAGGTTTATAAAGAGCGGGGGGGGGGGGGGGACTCTAGACATGGGTCAGAAGATCTGATTTCTAGTTCTGCTGTGAACAAGAGGTATGATTTTGGTCAAGACCTTAGCCTCTACAGCTCAGTATCCTCATCTGCATAAAGATTACATTGTACTAAATGTTCTCTAAAATTTCTTCCACTCCTGACTTTTTAGGAGATGAATTTTAACTCCTACTTAAACTAATAAGAAAAATAACAGAAATTTCTTAAACTAATGAAAATAATAAAAGTACTTCCGCTATTAGGAGGAATACCCCGGATCAAATAGGAAAGTGAACATTTATTTTTCAGCTGTGATTTTTCAGAACTTGTAACCATTTTCCATTATTCTATTCATTTAAAAATTTATTCTTCATCCTTTTTTGATAAGGTCTAAATTCAAAATTCTAAAAATTATGTATCATATTAATAAAATTATTTATAATTCATTAATAATTCTGTATTAGTATTAAAATTGTGGAAGGTTAAAAAACATTGTAGAGCAAGATGACTTACTATAGTGACACAAAATTATCCAAAATAGGGTTTATTTGAAGTTGGGATTTATGAAAAATAATGTGAATAGGGTATTTTAGGGTAAACTTTAGGGTATTTATAGTAAACTTTAGTAAAGATGATTTATTCTCCAGTTACTGTTTAACTCCATTTCTGGTGTCTTGAATAGTTAATTTTTTCCTTTAGGTATTTCAAAATCTTCTAAAAAATATAAACATTTCAAGTCTATTTCAACAGAGTTTTATTTCTAGGATATTAATCAATGTTTTAAATATGTTGTCTTTGGTAAAAAATAAATTTTTAACATTTCAAATAACCAAAGAAAGATAATATGCAAATCTAAAATAAAGGGTAAGAAGAAAACACAGATTGTTCATCACGTTGGTTAAGTTGGTTAACTATTTTTCATAAATTTGGATGTAGAAAGAAAAGAGAGAGTATATCATGTTGATGATTTTTGTGTGTGTGTGTGATTTCAGATGATTCCTATTGGGCTTCTTGGACTCTTCATAGCATCTGCTTTTGCTGACTATGTAAGTCTCATTCTTTCTGGTTTGTTACCAAAATGCATTTGCAGAGAACTGTGGTATTAAATCACTCTTCATTTCTTATAAACTTCAGAATATCAACATCAATGATGATGGCAACACTGCTGGAAGTGGGCAACAGACAGTGAGTGTCAACAACGAACACAATGTGGCCAATATCGACAATAACAACGGATGGAACTCCTGGAACACCCTCTGGGATTATAACACTGTAGGTAGCCAGCGTGCAATTCCCATTCTTTAAAAAAATGTGGGTTTTTTTTTAAGAAAAAATTAATGTACCAGCTAACTAAAAAAAGAGAGAGAATTAAATACAGTAAATTCTACATGCACATGAGCATATTAGTTATTTTTTGTGTGTGTGATGCTCGGGATCGAACCCAGGCCTCATGCATGCCAGGCAGGAGCTTTACCACTGAGCCATATCCCCTGCCACAAGCATAGTAATTAAAATTGCCTATTTTCCTCATCCAATTTTACTTGCTAGCTATAACTACTATTCATAAGTCTTGCGCAATTAGTTATATAATTCAAACCAATGAAGAGTTATTAGAGTCAACTAGCTTCAAAAAATAGTAAGGATATGAGGAAAATCATCTCTTTGCCTCACCTGCAGATGCCCTTGATTATGATAAAAGACCTGTATATTAGTACCACTGCCAATCATCTATCACAGTTTTTAGTTTTCTTCTAAAAAGACAGAAGTGGACCCTTCACTTCTAACTCCAAAGGATCAAAGGGGAAAACTAAAATACACTTGCCACTAGTTAAGAGACCCAACTCTGCAATTAGCAGCCCTGTATTTTACAAACTTAGTACTTTTAAAAAGCAAATTCTTTATTGTTTCAGTTTTATCATCTGATCAGTGAGAAAACGACTTCCTGTCTTACCTGCTTCCTTGAAATGTCATGAGGATCAAAGGAAACTAAGATGTGATAGCTTTTGAAACTTTATTTCAGTAATATCGACATATGTAAGTGCCTCTTCTGCCAGAATTGAGGATAACGCAATGAGTTAGATACTCACTCTTTTCCTTCAAGGAGCCTGTAGCTGACAAATGTCAGCAACAGATCACAGATCCACTGTGCTTATCCCAGTTCGTCTGATCATGGAATTCCACTTCCCTTTGCTGGTAGAACTGATCTCTGATAAGAAAAACTCCTTGGGGAGCATACACTTCTCCCTCACCTTCTACCATCACCTTCTTTACCAGGGCTTCGCTGCAACCAGACTCTTTGTCAAGAAGTCATGTATTGTGCATAAAATGAAAACTGATGTCATGCCCTCCATTCAAGCCCTTGATGCACTGGTCAAGGAGAAGAAGGTAAAGATAAGTTTTTCAACTTTTTCTCATAGGAAAACTTACAACCTCCAGTAAATACTGAGGAGATCACATTCCCTCTGACCACAGTGTGATGTAGTGTATAGCACAAAGTGTACTTGGTAATTGCTTCAAGGGAGGTACCTTTACACACCAGTGTGGCTCACACAGGCCTCTAAAGAGCTGAGCAGAACACCTGATGACCTTGACCGATACAGAACAAAGTTCCAGTCACATCAATGCAAGCCCTGGGAAATTCTCCACAGACATGTTTCTGCAAGAGTTAGTTAAGGTTATCAGATTTAGCAAATAAATATAAAAGATATCCAGTTACATATGAGTTTCAGATACACAGTAGATTGTTTATAAGTGTGTCCTGTTATATTTGGGATATGCTTACAATAAAAAATGATCTGTTGTCTATCTGAAATTCAAATGTGCCTGGCTGTCCTATATTTTATGTGGCAACTATCATTGAGGTAGATGGAAAGAGAGGATCCACGGTTTCTTAAGTGTTGGTCTGAGTTCATATACTCCTATAACTGATAAATAGGTGCCTTTCATTAACAAGGCAGAGAAAAATAAATCAACTACATTCCTGGAAGTTGATTATCACGTGGCCCAATCCAAGGAATCTAAGATGACCAAATGAGGCCCAAGTTTCAGAATACATTTAGCCTCAGAGTTCTGTATTTATGAGATAAATCAGCCAATGCTTTTAGAAATATGGAGATAAATAAAACTGGAATTGGCTCTTATTCATCTTGATTTCTGAAAAACCTATAGTCAAGCAATCCCCCTGTTGGCTTTGTACCCCTTCAAATCCACAAAACACTGGCTTGGCACTCATACTTTCTCTTTCTTCCTTTCTGTGTGCCTTCTTCATGCTCAGCTTCAGGGTAAAGGACCAAGAAAACCATCTCCCAAGGGTCTGATGTACTCAGTCAACCCTAACCAAGTTGATGACCTGAACAGATTTGGAAAAAACATTGCTGGCATGTGCCAGGGGATTCCAACCTATGTGGCTGATGAGATTCCAAGTGAGTATGCTCCCTCCTGTACATTCCACGTTAGCGCTGGCAAAATGACCAGACTATCTAGGACATGTCCATAGAGGAGACCAGTCACCCAGGAATGTCATCAAGGCTACCAATTGTTGGCACTCTATTCCAGGCACTGTTCCACATGCTGTAAATGTGTTAATTCATTTGTTCCTCACAACAATCTTATATTACAAGTTCTATTGTCAGTTCTACCTTATGAATAAGGAAACTGAGGTACAGAAAAAGAACTCAAAGTTCTCGCCTGGGTCAATCCCAAGCATTTTGGTTCTGGATTCTGTGTTCTTGATTCAATATTCTTTATGGAATATTGCCTTTCAGGGGTGGATCCAGAATAAACTCTAGGCATATTCAAAAGAATGCAAGAAATAACTAAATGAAAGAGAATGCCAATAGAATCTACTCTCTCTCTATAGCTCAAATTATTGCTTAATTTCTGGTTAAAGAATAGTCTACACCAAAACAAAGTGTCCATCTAGGACCCTAATCCAACAGCAACTTTCCAGATCTCTGAATTTAGTAGTTTTATTTTGATAGATAGAGAGACAGATAGATAGGTAGACAGACAGGCAGATAAATTGATCTTGAAATTAATGCATAGCTAGTTTGTATATTTACATGACTTGCATCCATCCCCCAAAAGAGTACTTGAACAGTAATTGATACAGACTTTTTTCTTTTTATCAGGAGCAAACCTGTTTTTTTACTCAGAAAAGTGCTACAGTGCTGACATACTCTGGATTCTGAACATTTCCTTCTGTGGAAGCACAGTGGAGAACTAAAACAAATATTTTAAAGACACTCTGGATTTAGTCATCAGAGTATGCTATGTAGAAAAATATGGGTCTTAATGTTTTTTATCATGTCATTCTGAAATGGTTTCTGCTAGTTATGTTTGGTTTCCTTAAGCTTCAATAAACCCATTTAGCACTGAATTCAGTTTATAATAACATTCCTTATGATTTCTATGGGGAAGGGACAGGATCATAGGTCGGGTGGTGGTGGCAAGCGGTTGGAGTGCATTGAACCCACTGTTATCCTTACTCAAAACCCGTCCCCTATAAAGAACCCCTTCAGATGCTTTAGATACTGCTAACCATAGCCCTGGGAATGGTTCCAAAACTGTCCAACTGCTCTGAAGGCTGCTCTATAGCTGGTATGCAAAGGAATATTTCAGATCAGCAGAAAAAAATCCACTCAAAAGTAACCCAAGCCCCAAAGGAAGGTTCATTGCCAGAATCTAGGAATATCTAAAATAATCCAAGGGCAAGATCTTAGAAGATGGAAAAATGTACCCTGTTCATGGATAGGCAGAACTAATATCATCAAAATGGCGATATTACCCAAAGTTCTCTACAGGTTTAATGCGATGCCAATCAAAATCCCAATGGCATTTCTTGTAGAAATAGATAAAACAATCATGAAATTCATATGGAAAAACAAAAGACCCAGAATAGCAAAAGCAATTCTAAGCAGGAAGTGTGAATCTGGAGGTATAGCGATACCAGAGTTCAAACTGTACTACAAAGCAATAGTAACAAAAACAGCATGGTACTGGTACCAAAACAGGCAGGTGGACCAATGGTACAGAATAGAGGACACAGCGACCAATCCACAAAATTACAACCTTCTTATATTTGATAAAGGGGCTAAAAGCATGCAATGGAGGAGGATAGCATCTTCAACAAATGGTGCTGGAAAAATTGGAAATCCATATGCAACAAAATGAAACTGAATCCCTTTCTCTCGCCATGCACAAAAGTTAACTCAAAATGGATTAAGGAGCTAGATATCAAATCAGAGACACTGCATCTGATAGAAGAAAAAGTTGGCTACGATCTACATACTGTGGGGTCAGGCTCCAAATTCCTTAATAGGACGCCCATAGCCCAAGAGTTAATAACAAGAATAAACAAATGGGAATTACTTAAACTAAAAAGTTTTTTCTCAGCAAGAGAAACAATAACAGAGGTAAATAGAGAGCCTACATCCTGGGAACAAATTTTTACCCCTCACACTTCAGATAGAGCCCTAATATCCAGAATATACAAAGAACTCAAAAAATTAAACAATAGATAACAAATAACCCAATCAACAAATGGGCCAAGGACCTGAACAGACTCTTCACAGAGGAGGACATACAATCAATCAACAAGTACATGAAAAAATGCTCACCATCTCTAGCAGTCAGAGAAATGCAAATCAAAACCACCCTAAGATACCATCTCACTCCAGTAAGACTGGCAGCCATTATGAAGTCAAACAACAATAAGTGTTGGTGAGGATGTGGGGAAAAGTGTACACTTGTATACTGCTGGTGGGACTGCAAATTGGTGAGGCCAATTTGGAAAGCAGTATGGAGATTCCTGGGAAAGCTGGGAATGGATCCACCATTTGACCCAGCTATCGCCCTTCTCGGACTATTCCCTGAGGGTCTTAAAAGAGTGTACTATAGGGATACTGCCACATCAATGATCATAGCGGCACAATTCACAATAGCTAGTCTGTGGAACCAACCTAGATGCCCTTCAATAGATGAATAGATAAAAAATGTGGCATCTATACACAATGGAGTATTACTCTGCATTAAAAAATGACAAAATCATAGAATTTGCAGGGAAATGGATGGCATTAGAGCAGATTATGCTAAGCGAAGCTAGCCAATCCTTAAAAAACAAATGCCAAATGTCTTCTTTGATATAAAGAGAGCAACTAAGAACAGAACAGGGAGGAAGAGCATGAGGAAAAGATTAACATTAAACAAAGACGAGTGGGGGGAGAGAAAGGGAGAGAGAAGGGAAAGCATATGGAAATGGTAGGAGACCCTCAATGTTACACAAAATTACATATAAGAGGTTGTGAGGGGAAAGGGGGGGGGGAAACAAGGGAGAGAATTGAACAACAGCAGATGAGGTAGAGAGGGAAGATGGGAGGGGAGGGGAGGGGGGATAGTAGGGGATAGGAAAGGCAGCAGAATACAACAGTCACTAATATGCCAGTATGTAAAAATGTGAGTGTGTAACCGATGTGATTCTGCAATTTGTATTTGGGGTAAAAATGGGAGTTCATAACCCAATTGAGTCAAATGTATGAAAGATGATATGTCATGAGCTTTGTAATGTTTTGAACAACCAATAAAAAAAAAAAAGAAAAGAAAAGCAGCTGGGTATCAAAGAGACTCAAACCAGGAGCTCTATAGACACCAAGACCGAAGACTGCTTTCCTCTCTCCCTGAAGCCACATCTCCCCTCTTCTCTGTTCCTCTCTCGATTCCATTTCCCTCTTCTTTTCATCCTGAAGATGGAGTTTTCTGTGCTCATAGCAGAAGATAGCTGAACCAGAAGGTCAACTTCACCTTCCGTGGTACATTTCTTTTCAGTTCAAGGGATAATGTTTAAGGATGAATCTCAATTCCAATTTTTCTTGACCCTGTTTGATTCAACAATCCACAACCTCCATTTGTTGACGGCCTGGAGAGACCATGAAGTCACATGGTTCCCACATGGTGCAGTCTCCAGAGGCGGAGGATGATCTCAGAGAAAACAGATTTCAAATGTTATATATTACAACATGAAAATATAGTTCATTTATAAAAGATGCTCCTATATATATTTTTAAACTCTTTGATGCCATAAGAGGAAATTTAATCCATTATCATGTCATTGGTAAGATAGCCCCAAATAACCCCAACAAACAAAACTAAAGATATTGATTCACACCACCTGGGGAATGCTAATATGTACCAATATGTACCAAGTTATATACCTGACTTTTGGGAAGTGATAAACCCTATGTTTTATAGGAGAACTGTCTAGTCTTTAATTCAGAACAAAAAATTAAATTCACAGAGAAGTTATAAAAATTCTGGATCATACACACCTATCAAGATAAACAAAGAAAAAGTAAAAGAATTGCAAAGAAAATTAAAGTATGTCACTAGCCTCATTGAAGATTTTAACATATATCTTTCAGTAACATACAGAGGAAGCAGTTAAGCATACAATTTAAACTTAATTAATAAGCATATTTTAATGAACATATATAGAACACTACAGAATACATATTCTTAAGCATATATGGGACATTTATAAATAATGATCACATGCTGATACATAAATCAAATCTCAAAAACTTTCAAATCATTGGCCTCATAAAGGACACATTTTTCTGGTCTCAATTTAATTTAAATAGACTAAATATTCCTCTCCAAACAAAACAAAATAACTCCATTTATTTTGGAATTATGTAGCATACTTCTAAATAATTTAAGACCTAAAAAATTCATAATCAAAAGTACAATACACTTATAACTTTGAAATAATAAAAGCCCTGCATATAAAACCTAGATAAGTAGTATATAGACCCCTGTGTAGTCGAAATTTATAGCCTTGAATCCTCATTTTAATAAAAGGAGAAAGGCTGAACATTGATTTAGTCTTTCAACTTTAAAAATGAGGGAAAATCATAACCTATAATATATCCAAAATAAGCAATAGGAAAGATACTAATATAAGAAATTAATAAAGTGGAAAATATACATACAATAACAGTAAGGCTCAACAAAGTAAAAACATTGATTCTTTGAAAAAGTGTAAAATTGAAAAAAATAAATAAAAGTATAAGTCACAAAGAAAGCAATACAAGGAACAGTAAAATAGACTAAGCTATAAACAGATGCCATAGATATTAAGATATTAGTAAGACGATATGTCAATGACTTTATTTCAATATATTTGAATGCTTGGGTCAACTGAATTTCTAAAAAAAAGTACCTTTCTAAAGCTGACTCTGGGGCTGGGGTTGTGGCTCAGTGGTAGAGAGCCTAACCCTTACATGTGAGGCACTAGGTTCAATCCACAGCACCACATAAAAATAAAATAAAATAAAGTTATTATATCCATCGACAACAAAAATATTTTTAAAATAGAAAGTCTGAATAGTTCTTTTTTTAAATTTTTTTCTTAGTTGTAGATGGACACAATACCTTTATTTTGTTTATTCAAATTTATGTGGTGCTGAGGATCGAACCCAGTGCCTTACGAGCGAGGCTAGCGCTCCACCGCTGAGCCACAACCCCAGCCCCTGAATAGTTCTATGTAATCAGTAAAAATAAAATCGGGAGGCTGGGATTGTGGTTCAGCAGTAGAGCGCTTGCCTAGCATGGGCAGGACCCAGGTTCAATCCTCAGCAACACATAAAAATAAAGGCATTGTGTTGTGTCCATCTATACCTAAAAAATAAATATTAAAAAATAAATAAAAATTAAAAAAAAATAAAATAAAATTGGTTCAGAAGTTTAAAAGATTCACAAAAAATTTCCAGGCTGGTTCCAAGATGGTAGGCAAGAAGAAGGCAGCATTCTGTGTTGCTCTGAGACCTGGGATTCAAGTAGTGGGAATACTGTTTCTCTGCGAGTGATTAGAGGACCCCCAACAGCTGCTCCCACACAGGAATCATCTTGGCCTCAGTGTCAGTGCAGGACTCTTGGCTGCTCATCCAAGAAGGTTCTCCACGTGCCAAGTAGGACCACCAGCATTAGCACCTGCACAGGACCCTTGGCCTCCCACCCCTGCAGGAGTCCTGGACGCTGCTCCCACACAAGATACCCAGATATTCAGCAAAGGAACTCCAGCAGCCACTCCTGTGTGGACCCCCATCTACCAACATGAGGCTCCTCCAGTCACCTCCATCTTGGGGCACTGCAACCACTGCCACAGTCCCCTACACACTGTAGCCTTCACTGGGTCCAGTGACAGCCACCAGCCACAATAATGCACACCATAGAGGTGCATCTCTGAACCCACTGCTCAAAGACACCACCCATCCCTGCCCAACCCGACACCCCAACGCTGAAAGCAGCCACCTCCATCTTGGGACACCTTCACTGACATCTTTGGTTGGAGCAACTCCCAGCT